CCCTTTCGAATTTCTTGGATTCTTCTTCAGCTCGCCTCTTCCCTCTTCTCGGCTTCCAGCTTTGTCCAGGCGACAAGCTTGTAATAGATCTTCTCCCTCGACGCATCGGATCAAATTTGGTGGTTCTACTTTATAGTGACACCTTTCCTCCGATATCTGTCAGTGATCTCCCTTCCCACTCAGATCCCTATCTATAGATACAGGACCCCCTTTGGTTTCTTATCAGCCTTCTCCACCCGGTGGAATCTGGTTCCGTCAGATTGCCAAACATCTGGCTGGTTTGAAAAGTCTACTGACTCATTCCCCTCAACTGATGCAGGCCTCCCTGTTGCCTACCAGCAAGATGTCGATATCCGTCTCCTACGCCACTACCACTTCCTGAGCGTCCCTGCAAAGTTCGTTCGCCCAATAAGTTCGGTCTCGTTGGGCGAAGCACTGTCCGTAATGGAGAAGCTGAACACCGAAGATGGACAGCTTTTCATAAAAGTGAGTGGGGACCGTGGTTTCTTTGACCTCACCTATCGGTCCTACTAACCATTCAACTCAATAGAACCTCGCTAGCTTCGTTCGCACCCATGAAAAGGCCCTCGCCAATGCCCTACAGCTGCGACGACAGCCCTCCAAAAATGCGCAACCCACCCTCACCTCCTCGAGCGCCCCCTCGACCTCGTCGAGCCTTGCGGCGGCCTTGTCGCTGGGGTCTCTAAAGTTCACCTCGCCCAGCATCAAGCCCGCCAAACTCACCCTCACCCCGCATCACCTATTCTACCTTCTCTCCCGATTCGAAGACCTGTCCATCGCCGTGGGCCCCATGAGCGTCCGACTGGAGAACATCCATACCGATGTCTCCCAGTCCTATGTCTCCTTCTTGAGTAAACCCCAACGGTCCAAGGGGGACCGGGACTCCATCCACTCGGTCTCCAGTGTGCGTAGTGTCATGTCCGGCATGGGTTCACTGTGGTCGTCCTTCGGCCTGGGATCGAAGGATTCATTGTCCAAGTCGGAGCGGGCGAAAGCCGCATTAGAAGCCGATATGAAGTATCTCTACTCTGCCTTTACCAAAATTCCCTGCCTGCGATTAGCCCCAGACCGTCGTGCCCGCCTGATCCGCGGTTACGAGGAGTTCCCCTTTGACACTGCCGTTCCCCTTCATGCCTTTAAGAATCTGAGTGCCCTGGAGATCATCGATATTGATTATCGGTCGTTCTTCGGCTGGGACCGACTCTCCGAGCAGCTGCGGACGCTGACCGTGAAGCGCGCCAACCTGGAGGACCCGGGGGATCTGCTGACCGGAATCGTGTTGGATGACATCGATAAGCGCCGTCGACGGTCAGCCAAACATCAGAACTCGCCGGTCCTGCCGTGGAGCGGAAGCGCGAACCCCCAGCCGGTCCGCAAGTCGGGACTGTCGGGTTCCCTGTCGGCCCCGGGCTCCCCCGTGGCCGATACGGCGTTTGGCACGAGCTCCAGCCCCAAATCCGCCGCCATGGTGCGGTTGGGGTCGGAAGATGCCGCCCGCCGTCGACGCGCTGGAAGCATCTCTCCCACCCGCCCGACCACCAGCTCGAAACAGTCGGTCTACCGTCACAGCCGAGGCGCCAGCGCCCGGATCCGCCGCACGGGGTCGGGGAGCTCCAACTCCAGCGACACCTCGGGCTACCGGAATGGAAGCACCTCCCACCTGCCGTCCGACGCTCTGCCCACGTCCAAGTGGCGGTTCCTGCGACACCTCGGCCTGGCGGACAATTCGATGACCTCTGTCTCCGCTACGGGTCTGGCCCCGGTCGCCAACACCCTGCACTCCCTCGACCTCTCCGCAAATCTCTTCACCGACGTCCCCGACAGCCTGGCGACCCTGGTCGCGTTGAGGGCCCTCAATCTCTCGAATTGCATGATCGACTCGCTTCATTCCCTATCCCGCACCCCTCTCCCCGCCATCACGGCTCTCAACCTTCGGGGGAATCGTCTGCGCTCCCTGGCGGGGGTCGAACGTCTGCTGTCTCTCGAGCGGCTGGATCTCCGCGACAACCAGCTCTCGGACCCCACCGAAATGGCCCGGCTCACCAGCCTCCCTGAAATACGGGAGATCTGGGTGTCGGGCAATCCGTTTACGAAGACCCACTCGGGTTACCGCGTGGTGATCTTCAACCTGTTCCGCCGCACCCCCGGCTATTCCGAGGACGTCATCATCGACGGGTCGGGACCGGGCTACACGGAGAGAAAGCTCCTGGTGGAACGCGTTGCGGAGCCGGAAGGCGCGCCCGTGGTCCGAATCTCGGCGGCAGACAGATCAGCCATCATCAGCAAAGCTGCCACCAGTGTCGTGGGGGTTAATGGTAGCCGGTCCGAGGAGCAACCCTCTGGGGAAGGGCCGGTGCGAGAGGCGGTCTCGACCACCGACCCTGGGGTCGGATCCAGTCGGCGACGGAAGGGCCAACGGCGGAGGATCGTGGATGCGACGAGGGAAGGGCCCGTCACTAATGGTAATTCCGCCCCAGGTGTAGTGGTGCCTTGTACCCCTTCTGTTCAGCCCGTCCAATTACCTGTTGCTCCGTTTGTCGCACCGTCTTCCGACCGTCAATGGAAATCTGATGGTGGACCCCAGGGCGACACACCTAGTGCTCAGAGCCCGGCCACGGTGGACGACGGTCCGCGCCCCGTGGTCCCGCCGGCCAAAGAAGCCCTCGTGCTGCAGCGGACCGTCCATGAGACGGAGTGGAGCATGGAAGGGGAATTCTACCGACGGCAACTCGCGGCGCTGCAGCAAGAGATGGGCAGCAGCCACTGGCTAGCCGTGCTCGGCGGCGAATCGGTCCATTCGTCGCGACCTGTGGGCATGGCTCGCACGGGCACCGACCTCGGGGACACGGCCATGCTGGCACCGGAACCGTTTCCGCGAACCAATCCTCCCGCGATCCTCAGCGGGGGAAGTACCATCTGATTGGGACGAAGAAGAATAAAAATAAAAGGAGAAGAACGAATGATGAAGGAGAAGGAGAAAAAAAAAAAAGACGCTGTGACTCTTCACTCTTGATTGATCGATTTACCAACCAAACCTCCCTTTCCGACCATCCCACCAACCCACCAAAAAACCCACCACCCACCAGAGTCGCTGAACCGCATTGGTCCGGGCGTTATGCAGAAGAGTTGCGAAAGCGGAGGGCGGATGTATGAACATGTTGATTGAAGCGCCATCGTTATATACCCGACCGGCGACCCCCTAGCCGATCCCCCTCCCCCCCCCCTAGGCTGGACCATCTACCGGGAGGCTGACCATTTATGAAAGAGAGAATGTTGTTGATTTGTTAGATCGCGTGTATTGTATATGGGCCGGCGAGGGGAATGCGGGCGTTGGCGTTGTATGATTTATCTATGACTACTGTTTTGGGACCTTTTCTGTTCTTTCTTCCTTTTTTTTTTGACTCTTTCTTCCGTTCTCTTTTCTGTTTCATATTTGTTTCTTTTGCCATGATTTGATGATTTCCGTGTATACCTGCTTTCTTGTTGCCTTGCGATTCCCTTTCCGCTTTGATGTTGTTCTTTTATTGTGTTGCCTTTGATGTGGTTTCGGATTACACAGACACAGACCAAGGGCTTCAGACTAATGCATGAGACATGAGATGGATGAGACTGCACCTTTACTTCATGGTAGACTTGTAGATAGTACTATATCCAGACGTATTAATAGCCCGTCTGGTCGGTGTTCGCCGCCCGGTGGCCTGACCAATCAGGGGACGGAAGTGGAACTTTTCACTGAAGTGATTTTCTGCCGCAGCCAATCACCGTCCGTCCTGGCCTCCTTCTTCCTTCCTCAGGCTGCATTCCTCTCTCTCTCTCTCTCTCCCCTCTTCTTCTTCCCTTTTTCTTCCCCTCTTCTTGTTCCTCCTTCTTGACTTTGGATCTTTGATCTTGTTTTGTTGGATTTCTGGTTCCCACTGTTAGCATCTTGAATCTTTCATTGGTCTTCCCAACCCCCTTCTGCTTGGAAATTCTCCCACCTAGTCAATCGAAACGCTAAGGGATTTTTCTAGAAGGAAAAAGGAAAGAAAAAATCAAAGGGAAAAAAAAAAAAAAAAAAAGGAAGCCGGAGAAGAGCCAGAAAAATCTTCTACCGCCCCGACCGCAGTTGTGTTGATCCCTTGATTACTACTCTTTGGACTCCTCCTCCTCATCCTTCTTCCTCGTTTTCTTCCCTCCTTCTACTATCCACGGAATACCCTCATCTCATCTCACCTTTGCACTTCTGCCCCTGCTGCGACTGCTACTGCGACTGCTGCGACTCTTCTGGTGTCTATTGTCACTACTTTCTCGCCCCTTCTTTCCACCTCCCACCCCCACCGGACCTTGGAACGTCAAATTCAGTTTCTCTTCGTCGCCTTGTCGCGCCCTCCTCTCTCGTCCTTGCTCTTATCTCGCCTTCTTCCTTTTCGACCTTCCCGTCGCTAGGACTCTTTTTTTTCTTTTTTTTTCTCTATTTTTTTTTTTCTTCGCTCTTCACTTTCTTCTACCCTCCCCCTGTCCATTCTCATCGTCGCGATCGCTCACGCCCGTCTCCACGCGTATTGTCGACTGCCTTAAGAGGGGGAAAAAGGTTTTTCATCGGGTCCGTCGTCTGGCTTCATCTCCAGCCCCGTCTGCGATCCCAAAGGCCTGTTGGCCGATTTCTTTCGTCCTCTTCAGTTCTTATTCGGTAAGTTTGATCTCCCCTCCTATCTCTATCTCTCTGCCTGTTCCTCTCTTTCCCGATCGCTCGTTCGATCGCCCTCCCCAATCTCAACCACCACCACAACAACAACAACAACCAAGATTCCATCGGGCGCGTCGCTCCCCAGTCCTAACTCGGATTCTGTCCGAGTTCCCCTGTCTGGATTACAACTCGATCGATACTAACCCATTGTTGCCTCTTCTCTTAGTGTATAGCCGCCGCGTCATCAATTGTATCACTACCGAGCCCTCCGCGACTCTCCCCCCTCTCTCCCTCTTCTTTCCCCTTTCATCGGTCCGTTCTGGGCTGGTGATTTCTGTTGTTTCTTTTTTTCCGCTCGTTTTTTCGGTCGACTCTCGTTAGATTCTGCAAATCATGGCGGACCAGGAAGTGGATTTGGATTCGATCATCGATAGATTGTTAGAGGTGAGGGGCAGCCGCCCTGGGAAACAGGTCCAACTGCTCGAGTCGGAGATTCGCTACCTCTGCACCAAGGCGCGCGAGATTTTCATCTCCCAGCCTATTCTGTTGGAGTTGGAGGCGCCTATTAAGGTATTTCTCTCTTATTTTTTCGCTTTCCTCTTTTTTTTTTTCTTTTTTTTTTTTGTCGTTTTTCCACTTTCTCCGTCTTTTCCCTACCTGTCAATTTCTCCCCGACGTTACATCGCTAACCGCCCGGATCAGATTTGCGGTGATATCCACGGCCAGTACTACGATCTTCTGCGTCTGTTCGAATACGGTGGCTTCCCGCCCGAGGCCAATTATCTGTTCCTCGGTGACTACGTCGACCGTGGCAAGCAGTCGCTCGAGACCATCTGCCTCCTGCTCGCCTACAAGATCAAATACCCCGAGAACTTCTTCGTCCTGCGCGGCAACCACGAGTGTGCCTCGATCAACCGCATCTATGGGTTCTACGATGAGTGCAAACGGCGGTACAACATCAAGCTGTGGAAGACCTTTACCGACTGCTTCAACTGTCTGCCCATCGCCGCCATCATCGATGAGAAGATCTTCACCATGCACGGTGGTTTGAGCCCTGACCTTAACTCGATGGAGCAGATCCGTCGGGTTATGCGTCCGACTGATGTATGTTCTACAATCCGTCCCTTTTTTCATCATAGTTTTGTTCCTACTGCTACTTTCCTTCCATTTTCGTGGAGGACTCGCTGGGCTTCCGCTCAAGGCTGATCCGCTGACAATCATAGATCCCCGATTGCGGTCTTCTCTGCGATCTCCTGTGGTCCGACCCCGACAAGGACATTACCGGCTGGAGCGAAAATGACCGCGGTGTATCGTTCACCTTCGGCCCAGACGTCGTCTCGCGATTCCTTCAGAAACACGACATGGATCTCATCTGCCGCGCGCACCAGGTCGTCGAGGACGGCTACGAATTTTTCTCCAAGCGGCAGCTGGTCACGCTGTTCAGCGCACCGAACTACTGCGGAGAGTTTGACAATGCAGGCGCCATGATGAGCGTGGACGAGAGTCTCTTGTGTTCCTTCCAGGTAGGTCTTATCCGTGTCCCGACTTGATCGAGAATCCCCACTAATAAACGTTTGACAGATCTTGAAACCCGCAGAAAAGAAGCAAAAGTACGTTTACGGCGGCTCCAGCTCAGGCAGGCCCATCACTCCTCCGCGAAAGCAAAAGAAGAAGTAAGGAATCAATACGAGCTTTTCCATGTGCAGCAGGTTCGGGCGACGATAAACACGTCACATCACCACCCTCCGACCATCTTCCATCACGAGAATCCGGCTCCCCCTCAGTCTACTCCCCCCACGACTTTTTCGATGGCCATGCATTAGACGATCGGAAGCAACATCCCGCGCAACCCGCCTGAGACCCGACCCCTCAACGAGAACGCAGACCGTTTTTCCTCCCCCCACCGACAGACACTTTGTTCATCATCTTCTCATAACTTTGTTCCCCGCATATCACCAAGGCCCAGCGACTCCGATGATTTCGTTTTGCGCTATGATTTCCTGGACGGAAACGTTTCTGCTTCCCGTAGGGGGTTGGTGTTGAACTTTTTTCTTTTTCATCTTCTACCTTTCTTGTTCCTGTGTTGTTTTTGTTCGTTTATTTTGATCAACGTGGTTATTTTCTTTTTCCTTTCCGAGGAATTCCTTGAACGAAGAGGGAGCGACGGGCTGCATCTGGTGTTCCTCCGTTTGCGCGTTGTTTTTTCTTTCCTTCTTTTTATAAAACCTTCCAAGTGAGTGTAATGCCAAGAATCAAAGCAAAGCAATAAGCAACGACATTGTCTCTGGTTTGGTTTGGTAGATCTGCAGCTGCAACGGCATTTGTTTCGGTAGTGATTGCACGAGTATGGCATGATATGATATGAATGACCCACTACCTCATAGCCCGTCATGTCATGTCATGTCATGTCATATCTTTACTGCCTGACGAAATAAGTAGTTGCACCTACTCACCTACCTACCTACCTAGCTAGTTACTAGACGGGACCCCCTCCCTCCCTCCCTACCAGCCAGCCCGCCCAGTCTTCCCCATCTCGTCCCCAGGAATGAATGAAATGAAATGTACACCATATATCTATCTACCAATTTTACTTGCCTCATCGGAGACGCCGCGCAATGTGCATGATCGGATCATGTATCATGTGATATGTATCTAGTCAGGCTCTAGATATCCAGCTAGATCTATAGATACAAGACTATCTAGCTATCCAGCTACCTAGACGCCTGTCTTATCTTGACCCGGTATGTGGTTCCGATCATATATGTACGCATGGCTCTATTCTATTCATGCGTGCGGTGCAGTCCGTAATAGATGGATTATCTAGATGGATTCGTTGAGCTCTTTTCTCCGCCGCAGTGGTGTTTGTGCTTTTTGGGGCTGGATGGAAATGGGGCTTTGTTGTGTTGTACTATCTCGGATTAGGTTGTTTTGTTGGATTATGCTCTACTATGTATGGTGATGGTGGATGGGGGGTGTGGGTTTTGTTTTGTGTTTGGGATGGAGGATTAGTGGGATGGCATACTTCTACTACTACTCCTACTACTACTCCTCCTCCTCCTCCTCCTCCTCCTCCTCCTCCTACTACTACTACTACTCCTACTACTCCTCCTACTACTACTACTACTCCTACTCCTATTCCTCCTACTAGCAGCAGCAGCAGCAGCAGTACAAGTAGGAGAGGGGGAAACAGGGGAAGAGTATGGGAGCAGTGGAGTATACGTATAAATCAAATGTATTCGGACTTATTAAATGTGCAGTATAGTAGTCCGCATCTAGGCTTTGTACAGCTTGGGCAAGACGTGTTTTAGTAGATCGTAGACGATTATGATAGTGACGAGAAGAGCTCACGGATATTCAAAGTGGTATATATACGTAGTATACAGTAGTAGGTAGTATGTATAATATTGTAGCATATAGTATAATATAATACCAGTCCCACCCAACACTGACCGAAGACACCAGCGGTAGATAGATAGATGAAAAGGAAAAAGGATGAAAAGGGAAAGGAAAGGAAAAGAAAATAAATTAAAATAACAAAAAGGGCTAGAACATGCCCTTCGGTATATCACTCATTCGCCTGTGTCGCCTGGAGGACGGAACGTCCGATTTCGTTTGCTTGTTTGTTTGTCCTGATATCAACATTATCATCGTCCCCGTTTTCATATCCCCTGCTCAGCAACCTTCTTTCCACTGTCTCCTCTGTACTATGTCTACCCAATTGCTTGCTGGAGTTGAATTGATACTAGCTAGCTGGCTAGGTACCGCTATTCATCTGTCTAGCTGATAGACAGGTGGGATCTAGACTAGGATGTCTAGACGTATTGCGACAACCACCTGATGCCTTCACCGTAGCCTGTAAGATCCGTTAGCCATGTCTCACTCGCTGCTCGTTACGAGTAAGTGATACATACCCTGCCTCATAACAACACTGCACATGAACACCTCAATCGGCCGGATCCCCTCAAGCGGCACCTTGCCCTTGCCTGTCGTCTGGTACAGACCCAGCTGGTGTCGCAGCTCGTCCTCGCTGACCGCATCCGGGTGGTCAATCTTGTTGCCCAGCACCAGGAACGGCACCTTGGAAAGCTCCTCCATCGCCAACAAGGCGTCCAGCTCGGCCTTGGACTCGGGGAATCGCTCGTGGTCTTTGGCGTCGACGAGGAACACGATGCCGCTTACTTCGGGGAAGTAGTCTTTCCACAGACGGCGTGCTAGATGACTATTAGATTTGCGTGACGGGTGGAATGAGGGAAGGAAATACCCTGCTGGTGACCGCCCAGGTCGAAAGTCGTGAAGCGGTTGTTGCCGATGGCGAGCTCTTCCGAAGCTGTTGTCCGTCAGTTTTATCCTCCATGGTACCATCCTCCTTTATTTCCCTCCCTGCACGCGTTTGCAGATCAACCCCGTCGGAATAAGAGGTAAACATACTCGGATGAGCCGTCGGTTGAAGAATCGCAACCCGGTCGTTCTACAATCACCATAATCAGCGAACCGTAAAGCATATCAAAAATCAAAAACACCACCCCATCATGACATTATCCCACTCCTGCCTTCCACCTCCGCCGCAAGTCCTCCTCCCCTCCGCCTCCCTCCCCCCACACAACCAACCCCCCAAACCAGAGAGAGATATAAACAAGAACAAACCCACCTTCAACATATGCAGCAGCGTCGTTTTACCCGCATTATCGAGACCCAGAAACAGGAGCTTAGCGTGCTTGTTCAGCAGGCCCAAGGACGCCAAGACGTCATAGACTAGAATTTCCCAATTCAAGCGTTAGCGTTGTCCCTCTTTCCTTTGCCCCTTTTACATCTCCTGTATTGCAGTTGGTTCCTTCCCTCCTTCCATATGGCTGTTTCGAGATAGTCAAGCGTGGATCACGGGCTGGGGCGGCTCGGATCAAGCCACGGAAACGTGCCGGTTGGATTGAAGAAGGGGGAGAGGGGATGAATGGATGGATGAAGGCATTACGTACACCAGTTGATGATCCACATTGTGAGGACGACAGTTCAAAGCGAGTTTGAGTCGAACGGAGAAAGAAGGAGAAAAAGAAGAGAGAAGAGTAATAAAAGGTTGGAGTAGTGGTGAGGATGATGCCAGAGAAGAAGACGGTCAAGACAGGTGTCGGGGACGAGTTGACGTTGGATGGCTTGGCTGGCTGGGTCTTGGCGGCTACCCGCGCGCTTAGTGGACCGCCTGAGCCGCGGATCAATCGCCGGAGAAGAACTCTCCCAAGTGTGTAGCAACTATCAAGTCATGGACGCTGTGTACTTTATTTTACTGTTTACTGATGAGAGTTTTTGTTGAATGATTATTTTGACAGAATCTGCCTAGTCTGGTCTGATCTACTACAACAAAACAACGCAGGGGTATCCTCCATTTGAACCGCCCATGCAAACATCCGACCGAAGAACCGTTGACAAAGAAAAGAAAGTGATGCGGAATAAAAATATGTATAGAGAAAAAATAAAAAAGGGATCACGCTGTAAATGCAGAAACAAATGTCCTCCAAACACGTAAGGAAACACATGGACACATGAAGGACACAAACCACCGAGGAAATGACAAGGAATAGCGAATGAAGCGAGTTCAGTCCACCAGGTCCTGTCAAATGAGCGGTTTGACCTGTAAAGTTGAACACAATTATGTACAAGAGGAGCACAGGGCACACGTCGGAGACAAAAGCCTAGACGGAAAGGACGAGCTGCGCGTTGTCGCCAACACCGTAAGCCCGGGTTCGCTCGGCCACGGCTAGGCCGAGGTCCTTCATCCGTTCGGCTCCTTTGCCCGGGACGCGGCGTCGCTCCATCTGCTCGCGCGCAGCTTTGCGGCAGTGTTGTCGCCAGAACTTTTCCTTTCGCTTCTGGCGCTTCTTCTCCAGTCCCTCGACGATGTCGATGGGCCCGCGGGTGTGGAGCGTGTCGCCCTCAGGCGATTCGCAGAGGCAGTCCATCCAATGCTGCGGCCGGTTGAAGAAGGGGTTGGGGACGCGAGGCAACGACTTGGTGCGAGTGAGGGGCGGCCGCTGGACCAACTCACTGATGTTGAGACCCTCCGGACGGCCGGTAGGTTGAGGCTCGACCAATGTAGTCTTGGACGGAGACCTCAACTTCATCGGGGGCGGAGGCGAGCGAAGACGCCTGGGAGACATCCGACCCTGACGACGAGGGGGCGGAGAGACCATACGCTGGCGGGGCGGAGGGGAGACCAGACGCTTGGGTGACATCCGACCCTGACGACGAGGGGGCGGAGAGACCATACGCTGGCGAGGCGGAGGGGAGACCAGACGCTTGGGTGACATCCGCGGAGATACCTGGCCAGCCTGATCGGCTCCAACTCGTCCACGGGGAGCTTCGTCGAGAGACTCCTTGACCTCATCCTCCTCCTCCTCCTCCTCCTCCTGCTCGTCGTCTTCGTCCTCCGGATCTGACGTCGGGAAACTTGGGTCGATATCTTGGGGGATCACGATCTGCTTGGAGAGACGCCGTTGTTCGACGCAGGACTTGTACGCGGCCTCCAACGGGCGGTCTTCATCAAACGTGCCACAGACGAAGTCGGTACTGTCGGGGAGGTTGGGGGTGCTGGGACGCATCTTTGGGATCTTGGTCGGACGCGCCATCCCCTTGGCGGAGAGCGCCGGCGGCCATCTCCGTTCTTGGTTGTCGTTGGCAGAGTCAAAGGAGAAGGTCGAGTCACGTCGGGGAAGAGTAGCCCGGGGGATGTCAAGCACCTGTGGACTCGTGGCCGCGGTCGTCGAGCCGGGAGCCCAGAATTCGTATTCAGAGCCGTCATCGCTTTCGTCAGAATCGGCGAAGCCCGCTTCGTTGTCCGATTCGTTGCCATCATCCTCGTCGGATGAGTCACTCGTGATCGAATCATCGTCTGCGTCATCCTCGTCGTCGTCCAAAAAATCATCATCGTCTTCGTCATCGTCCAAGGCCTCCTGCTCCGCTTCTTCGCCAAGCTTGCGAATGGCATATTCTTTCTTCATGCAGTCACTCAGCGTGATCTTCTCCTTGTACTCACCAACCTGAGTGACCCATTCGTCATCCTCCTCCTCGGAGCTAGCGAACTCGTGAAAACGGGTAGCCTCGGATTCCTCGAACTTGCCCAGCCCCCGGGTGGGAACCCCTCTAGAGGAGTCAGTCTTCTGCTGGGGAGCTACCGAGATCTTTGGCGTGGCCTCTGCGTCCGAGCACGCCTTACGGGCCATCGGGGCAGGTGACCCGCGTAACCGGGATCGAAGAGCGGGAGTACGGATGGGAGAGCGGTCGCGTCGCGTCTCTGGGACCCGCGCGGGGCACACGAACGTGAGCGTCGTCTTCCGCTTTACGGACTCTGTCGGGGTCTGGTCGACTTCGGGCTTCTTGGGTGTCGTCTGAGCAGCGGGCTGCGATGTCGGTGCCGGCTCCTCGGCCTTACGCCCGCATGCAAAGCTGATGCACCGCTTGCGTCCCAGGTTAGCTTCGATAGCCGATTCGCCGGCCTCCTTGGTAGTAGATTTTTGAGATTCAGGGACGGCGGATCTGTTGGTGAACTGGGTCGGGAGCGGCGGACTCGGGTTCGACAGGGAGAGGCTGGTGAGGCCTCCGTCACTGGTCAACTCATCCGTCGAGATGCCGCTGGCCGTGCCGTACTGACAGGCACGGTAGTGGATGGATTCATGAAGAGAGGGCAGTTCCTCTGACGGGCTCGAGAGAGGACTACTCCGAAGGGCACGGGTGAGGAGGGACTCTTGCCGATCGGTCCCGGCGGTAGTGGCCTTCACGTAGACCACATTGTCGTCGTCCATGTTGATCGGGCCGGAGTTCAGGAAGCGGTGATCGGGGGGTTCATCGATATCTTCGGGCATGTCGGCGTCTTGTTGCGAGGCCTTGTTTTGATGAGGCGACAGCAGCATCTTCAGAAAGTTATGAATAGAGGCAAACGGTCGGTCACCACCACGCAAGTGAGCCATTTCAGGAAGGTAGAGATTCGAGATAGAGAGTACAGGGTGAGAGGGGGTGATGGGTTGTAGATGGTCGGCCGGTATCGATAGACTTGAGGGTGGCGGCGGGTAATAGTGAATATTGATAGGGATCACAACTTGTCCAAAAATACAACACAGCAGCAAAGGTCCGAGGAAAAGGAACTCTCAATATCGATCAATCGTGCAAGCGATCGACCTCGAGCAGCAGATCAAGTGAAGTCCCGCCAAGGACGCAAATTGTCATGATATAAAACTCATGTTGGGGGAGGGGCGAAGAGAGAGAGAGAGCCGGGATACAAGAGGATCAAGTAATGGATGGATTGAAGTAGGCATATGCAGGCCAAGACAAGGGATTGACGCCTTCTTCAAAGAATGGCAGCTCATAGAGCGCCAGGAGAAGAAGACGCGTCGAGAGAGAGACGCAGAGGTAATGTGTTGGCAGCACAGGGTGGGATGTGAGAGTTTGGGGGGAGGGAAGAGGAAGAGGAAAGAGAGGAAGAAAGGAATGTGAAGAGGATCGGAAAATAAAAAAGTAGTAAAAAATGGGGGTGGGTTAAAAAAAATTAGAAAATAAAAAAAAATAAAAAATCGAAAGTGAAAAAGAATAAAATTAAAATGGGGGAAATAAAGATGATTTAATGGGAAACAAAAAAAAAAATTAAAAAAAAATTAAATAGAATAAAATCAATGAAAAAGAATGTGGTTCTTGGTGAACAAGTAAGAAGGGAAACCACACTAGGTCAATTTCGTACCAAATCTTTCCAATCTGTGGTTTTGATGATGACAGGGCGGGAGAACGGGTAGAGGACAGGATCATGTCCGGGTTGCTTTGTTGATTGGTTTGAGAATTTCGGTTTTACTTGTACCGGATTGTACCAAGATAGTACCATCCTGTATATGATTTTTATTATTAATTTCTAAATGAACGAACAGAAAGAAAGAATTCCCCTCCTTCCCTTTTCAGGTTATTACTGCACCGTCTATTACTGTGCCCAATTTATTACTCCATTGTATACTTTGATAATTCGTACAATATAGACAGACAATTGGAGGGCACAGTGAGGCAGAAGTAGTCTCGGTGATCAGGGGTCGCCACCATCAAGAAAAAAAGAAAAAAAAATGACAGGAAAAAAAAAACAAACATAGGTGAGTGAAAAAAGAAATCCACTGTCCACCATGGAAATACAGTTTTCTGATCTTCTCTTGGGCTTCTTTTCCTTCTGCAGGCCAACTCCCACCAAGGGCGCTCGGTCCAATCAACCCCGCCAAGCCTTGACCCACCCGGTCGTTTTTCGCTGGGCAAAAATCCCTGCGTCCATCTGTTCCTGCGGTTACGATCAGTATGAAAATTACCCCAGTACTGTATTGGTACTGTTCTGTTTGACCCCCCTAGTTGTTTCCCCATGTCACACAGTCAGAGGGGAAGGAAGATGCCACCTGAAGAGACGAAGAGAAAAAAGTCAGACAGAAGACAAAAGTCCTGAATATCTGAAGAAAGGCTGACCAGCTCTTAAGGACGGCACGGCAGGAAGGTTACAGGCCGGTTTCATTCAGAACTCACTAACATTTGACTAACTATGAGGCATTTTGGGCGCCAGACACCTCGCAACAAAAAAAAAACAGATCGCTAGCCTGATCGGGTAATTCCCCATCTTGGACGGGAGCCTCGAATGACTAATGCCATGCCCGCAGTAAACTCGGGTACGGAAGATTAAGTATGGTAACTGTATCTACTAATCTTGCAGTTTCATCCACTGTACGGAGTACTCTGGTACTTTTCTGGAATCCGTCAAACGTGAGATCAGTCCTCCACTATCAGGGCTCTCTCGCAGGCTGGATGCGAGGGACTGGAGACAGAGTAGTTCGTACTACTGACAAAGAGGGATGTTAGTTTATCCATGTTAGCCTCGTGGGTTGCAAAGAACGAGGTTGATCTTGATGTACTCCTTATTTGTCATTTTATCATGGCAGTGGTTGTCATTATTAATATTAACATCATGATGGACGCTGTCGAGACGGCGGTAACCAAACCCGAGCTCACCAAGGTCACTTCTTATCCATTCCTATTACTCACGAGATTCATTATTTATCAGCGGCACATTATGCACTACGTAAGATGTTGAATAAAAGCCAGGCCTCGTACTTGGTATACTCTGATGGAGACGGAACACTTGAAACCAATCCAGTCCAGACCATCCAACAGATGCATCCTTATCCCGCTATTGACTGGGTATACGCCCGCGGTCTATACCTACCTAGTTGCCTCCCTATGGACCAACTGGTTCCGAGTGGACAGAGGCATATGACTCGATCGCATATTGAATCCGCCTGACTGGTGTATAAACTCCGTGTCCCCCCTCCTCCTCACTCTGCCTTGGACCAAGGAGAGACGCCCTAACTCCAAACCTCCCTCTTCAACCCCAACTTCCCACGGGGCTAGCCCCAAGACGCTCGGCCCAGTTTCTGTTTTCAACCCTTGTCTGTCAGCCCCGTACTTTTCACTCCCTTTTCCCACTATCTCCAGCTTCCCCTCTATTTGATTGTCCCCCGGTGCTATGCTGCTAGCTCGAGTGGGAAGGTGCTGTAGGCGCCCTATGCGCACTTGCTAGTCTACTGACCTGTGAATGGCTTCAATCCGTTCTGGGCGAGTCAGTAGGTAGATAATAAGTAGTTCGAACGACGTCGGTAGGTAGGTAATAGTTAGTCACCCAGCCCTTCCTGCTTGGCTTGGCAATTACAATCAATCCCTCAGCCTGCTCAATGCGGAAAGAACCCCCAACTGAGTGCCCAGAGTCGAGTCTTGCCGACCAGCCGGTTACAAGGGTCTTGTCACAGTACGTGACTAATACCAATGACGTATTTGACGGAGGATACTGAAAAATACCCACAGAGGTACCGGGAACTGTTATGTGAACTGTTAACTGACTGTACCCTCGACGATCCTTCCCGATCCTCACCTCATCCAAGTCCGGATTATCATTCCCAACGCCTGGATCTATACTGAGTTGTCTTGGAGGAAGGTATCTGTCAGCGAAGGAAGGCAAAAGGAATGGAATGGAAGCAAGCTGCAAGAGAATCCTTGACGAAGCATTCATTCACATTCTTTCTACCCCCTTACTTCAGTGACTATGTGATCGAGACCGATACATACATACTTACTTACTAGATACACCTAACCTACCGCTCTCGCTGCGACCCTACCATCATCATCCCGCATCCCGTCCACGGAATCATCCGACCATGACGCTATCGAGTCGGCCTCGCACGGGAGGTGCATGATGGGTAGTATGTAGGTCCGGGGAATTAGACTTTTGCCTGTCATCATACTCGTGCTAGGTTGGGGCTGTTTTCCCTCTGGGCATTGCTACTTTGCCTTGCTCAATGCTCACCGAGGCTATGCTAAGCGGGTATGCAAGTCGGGGGCACAGCAAGTACCTAGGTATCTGACTAGGTATCTAGGTACGAGGTACGAGGATATTAAGACGAGCCGGGATACATCCTGTTAGACAAACCAAGACAATAGTTAGGATCAATAATAGGACACATGTCTGGAGCCTGACTCCTACTATCACTATGACTACTGTCTGGGCAGAATAGCGTGTCTTGGCCGTACAACACCGTGGAGGATCGTCGGAGCAGAAAGGGTGCGATCGGGATCGGACGCATTCCCCAGAAAATCAAAAATAACCGCTGACTACGAAGGAAGAAGATAACTAGTTAGGCCATGAAGATGCTACAAGTAACAACTATCTATTCCATGACGACAGCTTACTGATAGCGTACGTACACAAATGTGCAAAGTGTAGGCAGCATCAAACTGGCAGACTGCCATTGAACAAACCCCAGCCTGCACAGTGGCACACCCCCTGCCATCTCAGCATGTACTCCACCATGATCATCGCAGGATGAACATTCATTTGGGTGTTCTAAATTGGGAATTAGGATTGGGGAGGGCTGATCTTGGCAGGTCTGATGATGTTGAGTGATATTCATACCTACCTAGTGTTTAGGCATTCATCGATTGAGTGGCAGTGTACTTGTCTCGCCTCTTGAGTACTCCGTGCTGACTACTGTATGTTCGGCGATGTATACGCCACTCGAGCGACCATGTGCCAAGCTGTCGTGTCGTGCCGCCCGGTCGGTCGCATATCCTTGGTCCCGTGTGCACAGTTGTATCCATAATGAAATCACATCGCCGATGATAGTCCTGATAACGGACCAATCTGTTGATATTATACGACTGTTAGTTGAAATGGGAAATGATCCCATAACGTGTGACACATGAAGCACAGGATTCGACAGAGAACAAGAAGAAAGAGGCGATGTGACGACAGATCTCTGTGCCCGATGATCGATGATGTCGGAGAAGCGGTCAGAAGAATCTCACCATTCTCATTAATCTCGCAACCCAGTCTCCAGTTTTACCCTTTCAACCGAACGAGTTTTCTTCTACCTACCTACCTAAGTTACTATCTACTAACCCGATATGCGCTCAGGGTTGCAATGGGTCATCCGGCACCAGGTGGTCAAGCTTCTTGCAATTTATGGATAATCCCCACTTTGATCCGGAGATTCTTATTCGTCTTGTCTGGTTTACATGCACTACCTTACGGTTTGGTATTATCATTGCCTTCATGATTATCGTGTGTTATTACTGTAGATTGTTGTCACTATTATTACCATCAGTATTACTGTTATAATGCTGCTGAACAGCGCCAATTACCTCCAGTAGACTAGACTACTGCCTATCTAAGTAATTCATGCCTGACCGAATCTGACCCGCTCGATCAACAGCCAATTCGGTGAACCCACCGTGCGGTCTACTCCTAAACTTCTAGTCAACCCCAGTGGGGGAAAATAACAGACAAACGAGGCGATTTGCTCCGTGCACGAGGCCTCAACACACCTCGAGTCGTCCACAGACCTCGGCGTAGGGTGCTGTATACAACGTACCATGTCAGCCCTGGGCCCACGCTCATCAAGTCAATCCAAGTTCAAAGTTTCGAAACATTTGAAACCGACAGATCGACCCCCACGTTAGACAGACAGGGCCTCCATCAACAAATCGCATGATAATTCCCCGTTTGGAGCTGGCAGCGCAGTGTCCTCCCACCCCCACGGCCCCCCCCCCCCCTGACGCAGCAGGTGACTGACTCCATACAGAGATCTACGCGATTCGAAACACTCCGACCCGACAGGTCGCTCACCCATACCCGTCGACCACGGTCCACCGGGGGTGAAATTGCGCTTCTCGTGAAGCAGCAGCATCAGCGGCATCAGCAGCAGGAGCATGGGTCTCCGGCCCCCCTTTTTCCCACAGGGATTTGACACCTTCCATCCATCCATAGGGTCCATGCCATCTACGGGGCGTTTTTCTTTGCTTTACCTAGACGGGGCGGGTCCTCTCTCGCCCACCCCTCCTCGGGGTGCATGCATGAAGTTACTATAGTCGTGACTAGCAGAAAATAGCAGCTACAGCAGCATCCGGCGGCGCTACACGGCACAAGAATCTCACTAGCGATGGCTAATTTCCCTCGTGGGCAGGATACCGAGCCAGCACAGCAGAAACACAGCATCGCGCAACTTACGCCAGCCTCTCCCAAGCTTTTCGTTTGACCGCTTGATACGGTTGCTTCCCACCGGTGACGCGAAGGGGCAGGGAAAGCCGGTCCTATCAGGCCATTAGGGTTGGAGCTTCCCCCGGGCGTTCGTTCGCGAATGGCTGGGGCGGGTTGCCGGGCAGTATGGCTTCCGGAGTGGAGATGGTAAGTTGTTTAAGAGAAGAAGTGGAGAGTTTGGTGGAACGTTCCTGTTAGACTTGCAACTGGAGCTGTGGACTGGACATGGGACAGGATCATAGGATTCATCCATTGTCAATTCATCGAGGGAAAAGATGACTTGCTGGTGGTGAGAAAGTGGGGAGACAACGGGACAATGGGTACGATGCACGGATTCCTACCGAGTACCAACCTGAGGCTCCATAGATACGAGCGAGATAGTGATTAATTGCCCTCTGTGATGGATTCATGGTCAGGCCGAGGTCGGCGCAGGACAAGCGAGAGCCCACCAAACTCAGTATGAGGGATTAATTGCTCGGGTCTCCAACTGGCACTCTGCACGGGGCACTTGTTGGACCGCCACTAATTTAACTACGGCCGGTTTGAGTGCATGACGGTCGGCTGAATACGGTTAGTTTCGCCTAAAACGTTGACTGTGGATGAGTAATACAGGGCTCTACCCAAATCAAGACAGAGCTTGGAGAATCAGGGCGATTCTGCACGAGAGAAGACCAGCCCCCGAACTGTTGATGCTCGATAAGTTCGGCTCTCCGAGACTAGTTATCCACTGTTTAGTGGTCACCACTCGGCCGCTAAGTTAGCTCTGTACAGCTGGTCGAAGCATCTCTGTCCGAGATAGGGGAAATGATTCCATACATCGTGGCGGTACGGTATGTATAGAAAATTACTTCAAAATACCACAACTGTCATTGGTATAGAAACGGAGGTATACATACGGTACGCGACGGGGGAACGGACATTGAAGACAGGAGGCGAGACAGCACATGGGCTTTGCCAGACACTGTCACATTCTTTGAAACCCTTACTGCTGAGATCAAGATTCGAAGCAAGGTCACCAATAATCAGAATGATCGATCGTTCGCCCAGGTCATCCGCATCGTCGGGTGGAATTGGACCGGTATGAGTGCTCTCAGGGCATAAAGAGCCGTCCCTGAACCCCATTCTCAGTCCCCCTTATCATACCTATTAGGACAAGTCAGCCCTGAAAAGACCAAAAAGAGATGTCTTGGCAGGTTCGTTGTCGAGATCGCACGGCATGATCGACCGCCATCACTCTTTTCGGTTCTCCGTTGCTGCCAAGAAATCCCGCCAAGCGCCGCCAAGCACTGCCAAGGCACATCATGGTCGATCATCAGATTCCTTGTCTGGCTGCCTCCTTGCGCAACCCTTCTTTTCTTTTTCCGTCTTTCTTTTTTCTTATTTGTTTATCGATTATCAATGTTATTTTTAACTAAATTATTGAGTGAGACGTTGACTTTTATTTTGGCCCGTTTGTTCCACAACAGCGCTTGGCACATGTCCAAACGGCAACAATGATCCCGCCAAGACTAGACAATGCGCCTGTTCTGTCGTCTCCCTCATTCCTGTCCGCTTGCTGGCTTCCGTCATCCGATAACACAGCGAGGATGGAAGGAATTTATTCCCGTGGCGGTGCTAGACTCCCATTCCCGCCCCTATTCGGTCGCCGAGTGTACACTAGTCGCTGTACACCTGCCATCCAGTCAAGTTATCCATCCACTCACAGTATACATCTTCATTCCCCTGATCGACCTCCTTGCCTCCCGCTGCCAACATAGACGCCAACTACCCATGGACCGCCCTCTATCCCTTCCGTGTCCAACAAATATCTTGCCAAGAGTCATAGCCAGAGCCAGCGCCCACCCGTCCAACTCCCCGCCAAGCCCGTCGGCCACTTCGGTCGGAATGCGAAAGAGCCGGCCATTCAGCCAAGACCTCTCGTGTCCTGCCTCATTGATCCTAATTGTGCCCTTCTTATCAGCAACACTGTATGACCTCATGATGTACGTCTGCGCCTCGCCGAGCCTAACTAGACAATCCCCAAAGTCTATCCATTCCCTACTTCCCCCGCCAAGACAAACCCCCCGTCGATCATCACAGACACGGAAGTCTAGTGGGAGGGGGTGTTCTTGGCGGGAATAGGCTGACAATAAATCTTGGAGGGGAAGGGGCCCGCCTGCCACTCCGGGCCCGGATGTACCGTCGATCAGGGAGAAGCCGGTAAAGCGGGTGACACTGCATGCGCCAAACAGAAGAAAATATACTCCAAATAGAAAATATGGTAAACCTAAAAAAGCAAGCTGGCAGGAGTAATGAAATGTACCACTACTGATAAGAAACACAGACACAGATAGACACAGTTCCTGTGATCGACTGCAGCCCTTCTACTGAAGAACTAGAACCCGCGCCATACTCTGATCGGGTTGCGCTTCGTTCTTGGCTGCGTCGCTGGTCATCTGCTGGATACTTGCCTGCCTGGATAACCGCTCTTATCTATGCCATGCACAGGCTGGCGCTTGGCGTCTCAGTTGTCGACTCCGTAATCTTCTTGCCTAGTTTTTCTTTCAAATTGCAGGTGCCAGGCGCCGTGCGGTCGATCATTCTACTAGGGCTATTGAATTGACATACACCCTCTACACTCTCGTGTGTGGAATGTTCCTGTAGGAGAATCACTGCCTCGATGCATGTATCGAAAAGCGTTTTACGATTCTAGGCTCCCTTGTCCATGCTCAGACTTTTCCTTACTTCTCTTTTCTTTTTTCTTTTCTTTTTTTCTTTTTTTTCTCACGAGACAGTCATTTTACCAGTCTGGAAGTTAATGACATCTCATCCCTTCCAAATAACGTTCTCCCTGGCTGGGCGCTGACTACCATCTTGCAGCGCCATGCAGCCGCTCGCAGGGAGAGCACACTGAGAATGTCTGTTATGGGTAAGATTTTTTAAGGAGGACAGGCCGATACTGAACTAGTTGAAGACCGGCAGGGTGGTTGATTCTTAGAGAATTCAGTAGACGATGCACGAGTGCATGGCTTTACTTTCACTAGAAGTAAATGTATTGAGCTAGCATGCATTTAGCAAGAGCTATTCGATTAATACATCAGAGATGGTAACTAAGGCTGGAAGTTATCTCTGTCTGTCCGCTTGCATTGCATCTATAGTAGTGATTTTGTCTGTTGAATTGCAGTAGCAGGGTGGGCCTTGTTTGTATTGTATACTCTCGCCGGGATATAAACAACATAGTAAGTCAGGATGTGTATGACTTCATCTATCTCTTCCTGTACTCTTTGGCGTAGCTATTAAACTCGATATATAAACAACATATACCAGACACGCAATGTAACATAGAAGTATACATCCCACATAAAGATCCATATACTCTCTCGTACTCACCCCACACACACAAGATATTATCCCCACCCCCGTCCGATCATTCCGATCCCCCCACACAAACCAAGCCAACCACCCCAAGCTAGAGACTCCCTACCATATAGTCCCTACCAAGTATACCCTCTCCACCAGTGCAGAAACAGCTCACGAGGCCGGTCGGAAGACAATTGCGTCATAGCGTGCCAGTTATAGTTCAAGTCACTCATATACAACATCGAGCTAGGTAGGTAGGCCGAGTTGTCGCCTTGTGAAGTCCACATACTAGTACCTATTAGAGCCGCGGCAGGGAACTAACCGGAGAGACTCAGTTAGGGATTATAGACGAATTGTTGATTTGATTAGTTTTCTTTTGCGTTTCATGTGAGAGTGAGTGTAGTTGGTCCGATACTACTGAGTATCTGATACCGCAGGGAGATATCTTGCCTTGTGGGTGGAATGATACTCCAGTACTAACTCTTCTGGTCAAAATACGAGGGGAAAAATATAATCGATGCCGAAACGCTCAATGATGAAAAATACCAACGTACGTATATGTTCCCAAGTAGGAGAGAAACAAAAAAACAAGAATAAACAAAGACATGTGATGACAACAAAAAAATAAGGTGAAACAAAAGAAGACCTTTGATCGCCTGCTCCGAAACACCGAGCTTGAAACAAACAAAGCAGTCCAAAAATAAAGTAACTAACGAGCCAAAGAAAGTCCGAATACAACATTGACAGAACCAAGAAAAACAATCAATCACATTCGTCGGACTCCTCGGGCCGCGGTCTTCCGGCCAGCCCATTTGTGAATTGGACGCTGCCGTCGCTGGTGACGCGTCTTGGTCTTCTTCCACCATCTTGCGATCGTTTTCTGTGCCCAGAGGATACGGTCCCGGGTTTGCACGACAGCGGCGCAGTGTTGGGCTACGCTGTAGGCCAGAGTGCGGAGGTGGAGTTCGCGACGGGCGAGGACGCGACGCCAGGCGTTTTGCAGTACGGTGGCGGCTCGAGCTCGTTGGCTGGCGGAGAGGAGGCGAGAGCAGAGAAATGCGAGTGCTCCAGTGGTTAGGTCGCTGTCGAGGACGTGTGTCTTGCCCGATGGACCTGGAAGGACAAGGTGCGCTGGGTTGGTTGGTCAGCGTGGGCTTTTGCAGGGGCATTGGGTTTGTAAGTGGACTTACTGAATTCTGCGCTGCAGCCCAGTGCGCGGAGACGGGATGCCAGCTTGGGCAGAGACTTGGACGAAGGATTGGATGGGTTATCTCCGCGGACGTACTCCTCGTATTCGTCTACGATGGCTGCATAAATCTTGCCGTCGCCAAAGCTTGTGCTGAGGTTCTCGAAGTGAAGACCTTTGAGCCCTGCGAGAATGGACACCCATCGTGTGAGCAGCGAGATGGACTCGTCGTTCTCTGCTTTTGAGTTGCTTGACTTCGCTCCGGTGAACCAATCTGCGCAGCTGACCTGCTCGTATCCAAATAGAGCAATTGCCTTTTGCGTGAGTCGGTCAATCTCCTTCCTCAGATCATCCCAGTCCACGAGTTTGGCCAACCCCCATTTACTAACTAGTCCCCAAAGCAAAGAGACGGTTTTCTCACGATGACCGTCCACGATGTCTTCGGCTCGCACATGGGAAACAAGCTTCCTGGACGATGGCGTGGCGGCCAACGCATCCAGTGCAATCTGCACGTTGAAAAGCTTGACCGCTCGGCCAAGACAGGGAAGCTTTAGGTTCTGAGAAAGCGGCCACTGACGATCTGGCGATGGGCTTCCGTGCTGGGGGGTGAGGTCGGCCGCACCTGTGATACTATCCGAATACGAGGTAAGCGGGTACAGCAGCTCTACCATCCTGGTCAGTTTAACCCCATCCCTGAGGTCCACAGCAAGGTTGTGCATGCGGAAGTCGTATTCCTCCAGTGGATGCTGCTCATAAACCAACTGGCAATCCAGATGGCCGAGCGCCTTCAGGATGTCCCCTGATGACGGGAGAAGAAAACGAGCTAGGCCTTGTAACACGGCCGCTGATGATTTGAAGGGCGACGAAGCGAGAAAAAGACGGCGGGGAAGCGTTGTCCCTCCCATTCTGCCTTTGTCGAGAAGTATGATGATCATGATGCTGCGGAGCACCGTGCGACGATATGCGTGGCCTACTGCAGCCGGATCTCGGCCACTGGTTTCTTTTGCGCTTCGATCTGTGTCCCGGTTTTGCAGCAGGAATGCGTCTAGGAAGCCTTCAAGCTTTTTCTTGGGCGCACGTTTGGTGTCCGATGCTGCTCTTGCGTCGAAGCCAGCGTCCTGTGTCACCGGGGTCGGGATCCTCCTTCCAGTAATGGTTTCCACAGCGGCCCTCAGAGCTCGGAGATCGTACGTCCGTGTCCAAAAATCCAAGAATTTTCGTTTCATCCCCAAGTCCTGGGTGAGTCGACTATTTTTTATGAGTACATCTTTTGGAATACTCATAGCTCCATATAGAACAGATGCCTGAACGCGTTTGTACAGATGTGTAAAGGAGGGATCCTGGTAAAGCCCTAGGAGCTCATGTCGGAGTATGGCCGGGTCGTCAACACTCGAAGTTTGATTAGGTTGCCCGATCAGCGTATTCACCAATTGCGATATTACCGCTTCTTGGTGGAAAATCCAGTCTTCCTCGTACATTGACGTGGTTGTTATGTTGTCGGGAATGAGCGGGTACTCGTCATCCAAACGCCTCACGCTAGACGAAACGGTTGTCCTGGGAATAGCAGCGGTAGATTTCGAGTGCCTTAGTGGCTTGGTGGTAGAGTCCCTAGAGATGGTCGATGCTTCGAGATTCACTGAGCTTGATTTCTGCCTGACACTATTGTTGCTCTTAACAATATCGGTTGAAGTTTGGTCCGACTTATTCCGGGTTTTCAGGACCGCTCGCTGTAGGGACCCGTTTATAGATGCTGTGGAGAGCGGCTTTGATACAACCTTTTGACGGGAAGCATCGCCAGAGTTGCGCTGTACCGACTTGGAGGCCTTTAAATCCTCAGCGGGGGGTTCCCAGAGCTTGTAAGGCTGCACTTTCTTCTCGCCCAGCACCGATCCCGGCGGAATGTTCTCTTTACCACCATTTTTCCCGACAATGTCGACCTGAGTGGTTGATTCCTGAGCGATCTTCAAGCTTGGTCGTAACGGTGGGCGATGGATCGAAGCTCGCGACTCCTTCTCGTTTCTTCTTCTGAAAGACTGCGCTTTTACACAGTTGGACTGGCTATCATCGGGCACAGATTGCTGCGGAATTGATTTGACCGGACTGAAAATATCCATGAACGTGCTCGCCACGGTGGTCTCATCCGGCGGGATGTAGACCGTATCACGGTGGACGCCTGTCTTGCGAGGCGAGGGCCTCGACCGGGCGCTGCCATTGATCTTCACCAAAAACTCCCGGTTGGCTGCCGCAGTGGCCTCCGGGGTAGGCACTGGCTTCACCGGATCAACAGTTTCCCTATATCGTTTTGACGGACTCGGCGCAAAGCTGACTCTGGGCCGGAACCTCTGGGCGGGCTGGGCGAGCAGCGAAGTCTTCCGGTTGACACTTGAGTCGGCCATGCTGTCGTCTCGTCTCCGTTTGTTGGTCACTTGTTGTGATTTCGCATCGTCTTCCTCGTGGATCGCAAAGGACGAGCCGGTTTTGGTTCGTCGTTTGGGCCTGGCTCCTGTTAGGACGGGCTTTTTCACCTCCATGGTGAAGTCGATATTGCATGTTTCGTCGCCGTGATCCGTGCTACTGTCCCACAGGCTGGTGACTGATGTGTTTCTGTTGCTGCATCGGTCCAACCTGGGGATTCTCGACTTTGGCGGGCACGGTGTTCCGACGTCTTCTAGGAGGCCGGACATGATGTGTTGACGTGAATATAACGGATGCAAGTTACTATGCGGGTTCACTTGTCGATATGATTGATTGTTGTCGTCTTAGACGAACATCGTCTTCGCGGGGAATCCTGTCCACACGCGAAATGCAAACCCCGGTGCTGAATCGAGGGATAGTAGTGGGCAGCAAGGAAGCACGCGGGGGAGGAGACAAAAGGGTAATGATCGGAGATGGGTGTGTTGACGGGTGTGTGATCAAGGTTTCCGCGCTGAATCTGATCATCAAATTGAATTTACCAGGGTTGGATAAATGCCGTATAATTAAAATAAGCCGATCCGGGGTTAGAGCGAGTACCAGGGAACCGAGATAGACAAAGAGAGCGTTTAGGAGGAAGAATGGAGCCGGACGCGATGTTGACGTTGTGGTTGCCCCCGCAACGTGGACTGTGGGGCCTGGGTAATCGGGCACCCTGCCAGTTCGAGATTGTGCTGACCAGCCAGACAGGGGACTGAGAGGTTCTCTTTCTTTGGGGATCTACATACTACCCGAAATTGAGTATCGTTGACAAGGGCCTCGATGAAAGTATTCTTCATCAGCGGCCAATTCCCCAAGTGTTTGCTGCTTGGATCCATGGATGCCACATATATATCCAAGTCGAGTCGAGTCGATTCTCTGACGAAGCCTTGAAGTTGGCAAGCTGTTGTATCTCATGACCTAGACTGCAATCTTGAAAAGGAGCACACTGTTTTGACTATGGCATATCACAAGGCATATGACGGATCGTCGAAGGTATAAGATCTGAGAGCGAAGATGCGGTAACTGGGATAACACGGCATTCTACTACTGCTTGCCCTGTAGATATAAGCCAAATTTCTATTGGTAGGTCTCCTGGGAAAGATCAAAATCTTGCGCACACGAGCTCAATTTTATTAGAGTAATACGTGAGACTTTGACACGGTAAACTTGGAAACGAAGCCATCTAGGACTCCGGGCGTTAATCTCTTGAGTACATATTACACTGGTCTAGACAGAGGACCATAGGGAAACCTTGGAACGCAAGCAAGAGCTACGACTAAACAGAATTGACGTACTGAAGGTTCAAATTTGAAGGCGTCCCGCCCTACTCCTTGGAGACCTGTCCTATTTAGAAACGGAAGCTTACGTTCCTTCGAGATGTCATACAACCAGAGACTAACGTGAGACATATATGGCATGAAACTTCCCCAACGCTTTCCAGAATACGTCTGAGGTAGTTGGATGCGTAGTTTAATTCCATCTTTGGAAGCATTCTTGGTTTTGATGGGTGTGCACCCAACTGGCTAAACCACCTTTGCCAATTGCTGTCCCCCATACAACAGACTATACCAACAAGTCGTCTGTGTCGTTGTATATAATGCTAGAGACATCTTGTCAGCACACCAGACTGAGATGGAGCAGGATGTGATGCGAGTTTGGAGTTTGATGCCCTTAAAGGAACGATTCCGTGAATACCTCACGTAATGCTTAGTACGACAGTCAATTACTCGTCCAGGGTAAAGTTCCATACATAAGTAAGACTGTATGACGCAAACCAAAGACTTGTCTTTCAGGTAAGAATTAGTCCCTGTTGTAATGATGAATCTGCACCATCGTTTACTAGGACAGATCAATCGTTCTTCTACCAAAAGAAGCAGGCAATAGCATGCACCTGTTGGCGCAGTGTGACTGACTACACAAAATTCCCACTATATATCAATTGAATGACAGCAACTCAAGCTATTATTGTCCATCACATAAGTTGAACCAAATATGTCAATGTCCAAGGGCTGATATTGCAGACCGTCCTCACAAGAGTTTCCACGTCTGTACTCTACACAACGTAGCACGCTCCATCCGCATTGCCTTTACTACATCTATTTGGGCAATAGCCTCATGCACGTCCTAGAGATGACATAAATCTCGTAGCGAAGCAGAAGAATATGCCTAGTTATGAAGCAGTTGTTGCACGCGTCAATTCCAAGATTCGATATAACTTAAATGAGGAAAGACGCTCGAAGGCTTGCACCTGTTAAGAAATAGATGTATGGTCGTCTTTTGAAAACAGATCCAGCTGAGTATTCTCGAGTATGTTCTGACCAGGAATGCCGCGGAGCTTCCCAATCATACCATGGTACTGACCTTAAGGTTTTTGAAAAAAGCATGGCTACATATACAAATGGTTCATATAACTTGGGCCTTCTTTTCGAGGATTTCTCTAACTACTTTTATGTTCTGGGGTTCTCTATTAGAAGTCGACTGCACTTAATGAGTTTTAGAGCCTCAGTGAAGCATGTCTCACTTAATAAAGCCAGTCCGTTATGAGATGGCCGAAGTGTGGCTGGACGAGCAGAAGAAACTATAAGACGTGTTTTGACACATTCAATGATATACAATCCAGATAGCTTCACTAAAATGCCATATAGAGCGCTTCTTGAGAAGTGTTACACCATAACGTCGGGAAAGCAACAGGAAGCATTGACTAGCTCTGAAAGGGCACGAATGCGCTTTCCAGCTTGCTCTCAACTCAGAAAATCATGTTGCTGGGAACCAACTGCATGATTTTCGTCTTGGTCTTCTCGACAGTGCAATCTCCGAACGAAAGAATCGCATTAATCATTCTGTGACATACCTGGAAAAATCATTAAAATATTGTTACCCCTACGTTGCTTATATTACGTCAGGATGCGTTCTATCCCGCCTGCGGTGGCTCGTTCAAGCACACTGCATATCAGCCTGACACAGATCGTGGCTATGAAAACCGGTGAGAGCAAGGCTCGTGGCCGTGCAGACGCATGGTCGGACATGGAATAAGGTTGTCGCTTGCTACCTTGCGTGGAAAGCTTTGGCCCTCCCAGCTCTCGTTTCAGGTCGTCGCGGCGTAGATAGAGGGGCAAACGAGGTCCTAGGAGGATTGTTGAACATCAGACAGCCTTGTGATAGAATGACGATCATTTGGCTTTACTAGGCGACAGTATTAAACCATGATTCACATGATCGCCAATCAGATCGTGGGGTAAATCTGTGAACTCTATTGATTATTGCGTCAGAACAGGCGCCGAGGTGCAGATTTGGTGGCTTGACGCAGGGAGCGTCGATGGGGTGTTGCGGGTTGATTGGGTTTGAGTTCATGCGAGTCCAAATATAGTCCAACGTTGGAGTTTCATATATTCCATCACTGACGCGCTTAAATCCAAAACATTTTAACAAAAAGAAGGCTGGGTCAATTTTCCTGAAAGCTAGTGGCTCATCTCGCATGCACTATATGCAGGAATAGTAATGTGCGCCTGTTCTGGGACCGCAACCGGCGTCATGATGTAGATATCCGGGTTTAAAGAGAGCTCCAAAGAGTTGGGGATGATCGACCTGGCGGCAAGAATCACGATTCCTGAACGGTCGATATGAAACCCTAGTGTCAGGTTAGTATTGTGCCTACTTTCCAGTCACCCACTTCTTGGCCTAGATCGCTGATATCTGACCGCGAGTGGGAAAGGGGGATGGGACCTCGGCCTTTCCCCGCCTAGTCGGCATCATGCGGTGGCCAGGGGTTACTGTATTTTTAATATCCAATATCCATGGACGCCCGCATCCACATGTAGTCATCCTTGAGAAATGAACATGGACGACCGAGGTGTATAATGAGATCCGAGACGTGAGGAGGGGAAAGACATGAGGCCAAACCTAGATTAATGAAAGTGTATGGGAGAAATCAATAAAGTATACATGTGTAGAATATTGTATCATTCAGTACAATTGACTACTAAGCCGTACCAAAAGTCGAACAGGAGTGACCTCCGTCCACCTTCCCCCATCCAGTTTAGTGGCAGACCGGATTCTCGTGATTTCGTCCTCCGATTCGACCGGCGGCCAAATTAAACTCCCTTCCCCAGACCGTCCAGAGACCCTCTTTCGCCTTCAATGTTATTCTTGTCATGATTGCCTATTCTTGTTTCCCGTTACTGTCTTTGCAGATTCTTGTCTCACTCCTGACGCTCTCTTCTAATCCTGGTCTTTTCTTGCGCCCTTTTTAATCTTCTCTAGACCACTACTGCAAGACAAAGTTGTCCTAACTGTCAGGGGTTCAACATCTCTGACTACGCTTGCCGACATCCCATCAGTCGTCCCCCTCATTCCTCTCCCCCGTGAACGGTCGTCATCCCTTACGCGCCTTCGGTGGTTCTCTCCCTCGACCGCCACTCCCTTTGTCGCCCTGGGACCTGGACGGAAATGGGCCGACGATAAACTCTGCGCTCTCTTATATGACTCGTCCTTCCCCATTCTCGAATTGATTTGCCGCCTGTTACCGAATTGTCGCACTTTCGCTACGGTTCCACTCCCTAGTATATCTTTCTCGATCGACGCCCGCAACGGCATGTTCCTAGGTGATGGAAGCCCTAGTTTATGAGAATTCTCCTTTGGCCGAGTACCTTCACGGTGAGTGGAAATGTTCTACGATGGTCCGACCGGAAATAATAACGGGTGGTCGCTTAGGGACTGGTGAACACGATCCAGATTGGCCGGTGAAGGAAAATGAAAGTACCGATGATGGCTCTGATATCAGCGCAAACAATTTCGCGCCCCGCGGCGCGTCGAAGTTTCAGGATCGGATAAGGAACAAACTCCCCAAGCCGCTAGATCTGAGGGCGTCTCGTCAGGGGGCAGCCTTGGGGAAACTGTACGACGCTTGCATGGTATGCTTATGGCAGAAGAATCTGCGGATGTGCGGAGGTACTGACTTCGTTTCGGTTGTTTAGGCAGTGTTGAACTCGCAGATCGGCCAGAGCGACAACGAGAAGTTCTTGGAGCAATTTGGTTATGTGATCGTGGCATCGCAGTTACTCAACGAACACAGCGCCCCCTCGTACACATCCGCTGCCGATGTCCTCTCCAACGCCCACCCGACGGATCCGCCGTCCATGTCCGCCGCCTTCGGGGTCCAGGGAGCGGTCGTCACCGCCTCAACCTCGTTTTCCATCGCATGGCTTATACACTGGAGTCGATCTCGGACGGGTTCCGGGCTTAACCCTCGAAAAGTCGGAGTTCTGCTGGTGTTGGTTCCCGTCATCGGAGTGCTGTTCTATGCGTTTGCGAAGCGGCAGTGGGTCAAGTACGTACGCCACCAAGCGGTAGATGGCGCCATCGCTTTCGTGAGCAATGCACAGGCATTTGATTCGGCGGCGTCGGCGTCAGTCGTCTTCATTCAGGAGGTAGAGCTGGTCTCGAGGGGCTACCGCATGTGAGCCATCACTTTAGATTACTCGTTTATCCGAGTCACAGGCCGCTGACAAGCCTATAGAAGCACCCCATTACCCCCGATCAGTCGACTGGAGGATCAGGCCCAGACGCGCAGGTGTCTGAGGCTGCGTCGGACAGTCTCGGAATGCTTCTACACTATGCTAGGACGGTACATCCGCGCACAACGCACCCTGCAGCCCTTGACGGATACCGACAATCTTGCGAAATACCACGATATCTATGACATCACCGATGAGGAACTCGCCGAGGCGGAAACCGCCTTTGCCGAGCGAGAAACCGAGGACCAGTATTCGTTGCGCGCCCTGCGAAGCCTCTTTGGTAGGCTGTATCTTGTGCGAAAGAGCATCCTCTGCTGCCTCCTGGCGTTTGGGGCCGACGGTGGCGGCACTGATATCGCCCGATGGAGCACCGCTGTGGAACAGATGCGGGATTTGGCCGAGGTCACGGCGGCCAATATACGGAAAATGAGTAACATCCTCAATGAGGAGGACCGTATGTGCTACACGAGTCGAATGAATGAGGAACGTTGCTGACTGTTACTATTTAGGCGATGCCATCCCTCCTTCTCCACTACCGACAGCGTCCCCGAACAAGGATAATCTGCGGGCGCAATACCGAAAGCTGAACTCGTTGTCCCAAGGGATCCGTGCTCTGCACGCCAAGATGCATGTCTTGCGGGAGGCCTCGAACGCCGACATTGAAAGTATGGACGCTACCGAGTTCGAGTCGAACCTCATGTCCCAGTACGAGTCGATCGGGACGGACATCCGCAGCTTGCTCCAAGAGTGGGAATCCGGCAAGTCGGCTTTGGTGATGAGCTTGGATCGACAGTCCATCGGGGAACGGTCTCGGCCGGGTAGTGGCTTCAGCGGGCTGAATCTGAAGGTCCCAGAGTCGCCCACGCCCAGTCTTGGGGGCGCTACGGCGGTTGAAGGCAGCCCGTCGGATGCCTTGAAAGCGTTGAATGGTGACGGTCGGCCGGAATCGGGCATCATGGACGAGGCCGAGATTTACGAAGCTGTTGCGCTTCCGGCGCGACATAAACGAGCGTCTCTCACACGAGAGGAGCGGATTGCGCGTGTCAAAGAGGACCGCGCCAAACAAGCGGCGGGCCGTGAGCATACCGATGCCAACACCAATATGCTCAAGGAGTTGCAGATGGTTATCAAACAACGGCCAGCGGGGACGTCCAAACGGGTCACGAGTGTCTGATAGCCCGTCGAGCCTTCTCCCCATCCTTCCCTTCGGTTCTCTTTTTTTTTTTACCACCTAGCGCTACTCGAGGCCCTGAGACACGGGGTCGTACCACAACCATCGATCACAGCGGCAGGTTGATACCCATGTGCATAGAGCGGGCTGGTGTTGGAGGCGTTGATCTTTTGATCTTTTGATCTTTTTTATTTTTTTACCTTTTTCCACTTTATTTATTGTGCTCCTTCTTTCTACCTTTTATTTGTCTATCTTTCTGTTGTACAGTATTGATTGTCTCGTTTTGCCATTGTTGGATTATGTCTCTCGTTGCCGTACACTGAGCAGTGTTGGCTTTTCTTTTGTCTGTATACTGTGGACTGTATACATCATGCTGGGGAAATACTAGACGAATTCCAGGATTTATAATCCAGGAAATTCTGTATATAATTGGGAATAAACAAGCTTCGAAGCAGCATGTCCTCAAGTTGTCTACTTTAATACCAGCCCACTCGAGTATGGGTGCTGCCTCAGGTACATATACACCGCGCTAACCCAAGTGGGTGATATGGCTTATAGGCGGCAGGCCGCGAACGCGACCCGCGAACGCGTTTCCCCACCGGCTTTCCTAACTTTGACTCTTTCGGCTCTCGAACGCGCCAGCCTGGTGGTCTATAATTCATCCAATTACTCCTCCTCCATCCCACCTATTTCTCTTGTTTTTTGTCAGATCTCCTATTCTGTAAGACCTCATATTACTCAATTCTTTCCCTCTCCTCCATACTGACGAAATCCAGTCCTTAATTCATTTACCAATCCTCGTCACCTCGCCTATCCTTCACCGCATCGATACTCGGACACGCACACACACACACACACACACACACATCAAAAGTAAGCATACACCACCAGCGCCTCAAAAGCTGGCCTATATCTAACAATCGAACTAGTGTTGGAAGCCCGCCTCGAACAAGCCAGTCTTCTGAAGCGCGTACGTCCCACCCACGACCCCCAAGCTAGCACCAGCGAACTCGCACAGAACTAACAAACTCAATTGGTATATACAGGTCGTCGACGCCATCAAGGACCTGGTTCAAGACTGCAACTTCGACTGCAATGACTCGGGAATCGCCCTCCAGGCCATGGACAACTCGCACGTGGCGCTGGTGTCGATGCTGTTGAAGGCAGAGGGGTTCTCGCCCTACCGGTGCGACCGCAACATCGCGCTGGGTATCAACCTGGTCTCCCTGACCAAGGTGCTGCGCGCCGCCCAGAACGAAGACATCCTGACGCTCAAGGCGGATGACTCGCCCGATGCCGTCAACCTCATGTTCGAGAGCGCCGAGACCGACCGTCTCAGCGAGTACGATATTAAGCTCATGGATATCGACCAGGAGCACCTGGCCATCCCGGAGACGGACTACGCCGCTACGGTGGAGATGCCTGCGGCTGAGTTTCAGCGTATCTGCCGGGATTTGAACGCTTTGTCTGAGTCGGGTATGTTATATTATCTTTTTGGTGGTTTCTTTTGTTCTTGTTTAAGCATATACTAACCGAAATAGTGGTTATCGAGGCCACCAAGGAGGGAGTCAAGTTCTCCTGCCAGGGTGATATAGGCAGCGGTTCCGTCACCATCCGCCAGCACACGAACGTCGACAAGCCCGATCAGAACGTCTCCATCGAGCTCGTAGAACCCGTCGCCCTCACCTTCTCCCTCAAGTACCTGGTCAACTTCTGCAAGGCCACCAACCTGTCCGCCAAGGTCCGCCTGTGTCTCTCGCAGGAGGTGCCCCTGCTGGTGGAGTACGGCCTGGGCAGCGGCCACCTCCGGTTCTACCTTGCCCCCAAGGTGAGATTTGCCCTCTTTTTCATTACGTCTAATGTGTACATGTTACTGACTGATTGGTACAGATCGGAGATGAGGACTAGATGCAGATATAATACGCGCGTACAAAAGTAGCATACTCACGATGACGAGAGGGAGCAGGATTTGATTTGCTTATGTTTGTTTGTTTGGTTTTGAAGTTCGAAATATCCCATGAATGTTTGCAGATGACCTTGAGTCTACATAATATACTAGACTATGGACCATTATGATCATTACTGTAGTTCGCAGTATACTGAGCGCTATCATAGAGAAGAGATATAGAATATAGAAAGATAGTTGAGAGAGAATATCTTCCATTGACCTTAATAAGTCTATGTGTATCTAAATAACCACCCACAACCGATATCAAAAAGCCCGTGCCATAAACAACAACAACAACAACCTAAAACCAACCCAACACATCGTGTTGAGAGGTAAGATTCCCACACATTAGCGAGAATCACCAAGTTCTTTCCAGTCTCATAAACCTCAACGGCACAAACCCACCCAAAGACAGGCAGACTCATACAACAAACGAGTAGATAAAAGGGAGAAAAAACCGACCTAAGAAAAAAAGAGATGAAGCGCCATCCCACCAGAATAATCGGAATCGAATGATACCATTCTTCCCCCCCCCACCTTCCATAAGGAAGACGAAAAGGGAAAGAAACAGCATGCCGCGTATTGCACTAAAGTGTCATGCGCTGAATCGATATACGACTCCGCACACACAATCTCTGCACCGACTCTCCCAGGGGGCTTCTTCCCCGAAGGAAAAGGAGCCCCGATGTTTCTGATGCCGGATACAGGTGTTGAGTCACACCAGGCCCTTGCGGGCAGTACCGGCCTTCCTTCCCCAAAAAGGGGAAAGAAGGCGGGTTCAGTGTTCGAGATTCCTCCGAATTTCTCATTTGCGAATGTACTCGGGGAGACCCCGAGTGACGAAGATGTGGAAATCTTTTCGTCGTGTGTAGCAAAGAAACGCAGCATTGGTGGGATGGCGCTTGGAAAGGAAAAAAAAAAAAAGAAGGGAAGAAAATTGTTGTGGGGGGCAGAGGGGTTTTTGTAGCTGTGTTGGGGGGAGCTCACCGCCTTGGGTGGGTTGGGATGACTGGGTGTGCTGTTGTCGGTTTGGGAGGTTTGTCTTTGACCTTATGACTGCATGTCTATATGATCTCTTCTTCAGATAATTGGACTTCTTCTGTCTACTATTTCTGAAATTAGTATGATGGTATATTGATTCTATTGGTTTACTAATACTAAAGTAGGAAATACCGGTCTAGAGTTCAAGGTGCCGCGGTTATATATATCGCTCGTTCTATGGACATGCTTTTCTAACCATGAATCACCGGGATGGCTTTGCCTGTGCATAGAGCTGGTAGGAACGTATCAAGAATGTCTAGTGTATTAAACTCAATCCTCCAGGCCAGTATGCTAGACTTTTTTGCTTAATACTTTGACTTGATACGGGGTGTGATGTGAAGCAGAAAAACAGGGCTTCAGGCATTTGAAACCATGGACAAACATATTTCTTCCGCACAATATACCCGTTGTGTCATGTCCATTTTATTTTGTATGGTAGTCATGCATATGGCTTCTGACTGGCAACCTTAAGATCATCGCCTGGGTTGCCTATTTTCACCCCGTGTCTTGGTGCCCTCGTATTGCCTCTCGGCACAGCCAAGGCTCACCCCGCGCGAGGCTAACTTACAAATGGTTGTCAATTGGAGTCATCAAGACTGATCTTCAAGTATATAGCTGGAAGGCGACAGCACGTGAATTTTCCCCATTGAGTCTCATCTACATAACAGATTATGGGGCTAGGAAGCACACTGAAGCGCAAACTCGGCAAAAAGTCCAAGGGGAATAACACACCGGGTTCCCAAGAGACCGAAAGCCTTCAAGCGAGCCAGGCGAAGACTGTGACTGGGCCGGCCAAATCGCCCGATGAGTCTAATACACCAACTTCCCAGGAGAGGGGAAGCTCCCAGGGAATCCAAGACAAAGGGAAGATTGCAGTTAAGTCAGAACAAGTGAGATCTGCTACAGGTCCTGGCATAGTCCTTTCCAACCCACGGATCGTGGGACCGCCACGAGATGTCAGCGAAGTTGAGCTAGGGTTCCAGCAGCCCCACCACGCCCTCGATCTTCAGACTGCGTTCGAATATCGACCGCTCCAAGAGGGTCAAATTCGACTTCTCAAGATTGTCCTGCCCGGTGTTTACCCGTGGTGCTCCTTGGAAGATCACTACATAGACAATGCGCCGCCCTACGCGGCCATGTCTTACGCGTGGGATCGTCCAATAATGACGAGAGCCATGTTTTGCCAATACTACAGTGAGAACATGGCAAGCTTTTCAATATCAGAGCACATATTGGAGGCTTTGAATAACCTGCACGGATACGTACCGCATGGAAGCCTAATCTGGATTGATGGTATCTGCATCAACCAGAAAGATCCAGTCGAGAAGGCAGTACAGGTTGCCTTGATCCCACGGATCTTCTCTAGAGCCCAGAAAGTTCTCTGCTGGCTGGGTAAACATGCGGATCAAAGTGATTTAGTCATCTCCAACCTACCTAGATTGGCTGCGGAGGTTGAACAGGCGAGCTCACAGGGCACTCTGTCAATACAGCCAGCAGATGCCGCCCTTTGGGTCGCCACTGCCAAATTATTCCGCCGACCCTGGTTTCATCGGCTGTGGATTGTGCCTGAGATCCTGATGGCTCGAGAACTGGTTCTTGTTTGCGGCGATAAAGCCGTTTCATGGAATGATTTCCGTGCCGTCGTGGCTAGGCTCACTGCTATAAGTCTTAACTTTGCGGATCCAGGGCTGGCGGAACACTTCGACAGCGGTGCTCGCGGGATCATGGAGCTGGGGAGGTGGCGCGATAGAATACAGGGGTTGGTGGAAACCGATTTTAGCACCCACGAGTTCATTCGTCTTCTGTTGTGGTCGTGCCAGAGACAGGTTACTGAGCCAGTCGACAGAGTGTGGGCGTTGGCTGGGCTCGCGCCGCCGCATATGCGACAGGCGATTGCACCCCTGGCCGATTACTCGGACCACGCGCGGTCCAACTTCCACAATGCATACAAGGCTTTTGTACGCGTGTTTCTCCTGCAAGACGACCGGCTTTCGCTGCTTTCGCTGGTGGCACTCCTGCCACGACACCCGAACGTTCCGTCCTGGTGCCCAAACTTCTCTCACTCCCTAGAGATGCGACAGGAAGGAATAGTACAACTGTGGAACAAGCGATACAATGCCGGATACACGGATGGTCTGCCCAACAAACCAGACGCTTTTTTCGTATCACCAGCATTTAACCAGCTCAAAGTGAGAGGCTTCGTCATCGACAAAGTCCACCGCGTGGGCACGTTGGTAAACAAGGCCAACAGAGGCGTCGGGAACGACCAAAGGCTGCTGTACGATTCCTGGTGCTGGGAAGTCGCGAAGACAGTCTACGGAGACTACAAGAAGGCGTTAGACGCGCATAGTCGCACCTTAATCGCTGACCGGTGGGACCGTGTCCGACATGTGCTTAGCAGGGGTGGAAATGCGGACAGCGGCAGCGTGCCAGACCTGATGAACGTTTATGTAGCCTGGGTGAAATCTCTGCAAGGTGACTTTCAACCAGGTGCGGAAAATGTTGAGATGCAAGAGGCCGTAGGGATGTTTGAAGAGTTTTGTAAGATAACGATGCTGCGGTGTTATATCTCGACGGAGGGCGGCCGCGTTGGCCTGGCGCCTCATGCGGTGAAGACGGGCGATCTGGTTTGTATTTTTTATGGGGCGGACACGCCGTATATTGTTCGGCGCACTGAGGATGGGTCTAGGGTGATGCTGGTTGGGGATGCTTACGTTCATGGGCTTATGTATGGAGAGGCGCTGACGATGGCCCCAAGCGAAGGGAGGGGGCCAGATGAGGAGTTTGTGATCGAATGATACGCTGCGCGTCCTGATGATCTTGGTGCATTTCGGAAATAATGACCCTCCACACAAACAGTAAAGTCTATTGTACTTTGATGAGACGGAACTCTATTCTGGGTGACGTTTCTTTAATCCCCCAGTCTCCATATGCGAGGATATCAAAATTGGCATGCGATTTTCGATGGAAAGCAGGATACGAGGGCAAAATAGTCAGACGAGCCAAGACGAGGCACCGGGGCTGTCGCGACTCAAAAGCACCCGGTATAGCACCTTTTAGTTACCGACGTCCTGACCAAACAATCTAATCTGATCTGGACCCAGAGCCACGGTCGTAACCGAATATACAAGCCGGCCACCTAGCAGCTCCCACTCGCGCCACCCAACGCTGTCCCAATAGTGATGCAGACACTCATTATCCTTTCCCACGGCAAACAAGTCTAGTGGCTCTGGCTTTTAATTGACGTTTGTAACAAATTCGGCCAGACTCTTCTTACCACGTCTCAGACCTTATTGTGTGGCAAAGATAGGAAATTGTGAGACTGGTGTTGAATAGGACATGTGATATGTGGAACCCTATCCTGCTCGGTTCTATTTTCTCTCTTTTGTTCATCATTTCTGTCTTTCTATTGTCTCACTGAATTGGTGGTGCCCAGACTTACTTGAAGATACTGAAACATATTCTTTACTTTGTTTGTTAGCCACTGTTGGATAAGATGTGCAGACTCATGTAGGAAATCTACTTGAGCCGATGCACGAGCTTTGAGGATGTTCCCTTTCCAGAATAAATATCGGGGCAATATCATAATATTACACCCTCAAATGACTCTGAAACTCACTTTGTTTAGCCTATGGCTCAATATATATGACTATCCCAACTAGAGCAACATCCATTCATCTCATCCTGCCTAAGTCTTAACAACATCAAAGCCCTCCTCCCAACTATCCAAAGCACCTCGAACCTCAACCGTATAAGCAGGAATACCAAGAGTGTAGCACACCGGTTCATAAACCTTTCCAGGAATGCTACCACCCATATACGTCGACCTCGTCGTGGGAAAGAGCGTCCTGTCATTGAGCTGGACTATGTGCTCCTTCCACTTATCAGCTGCCTCAGGCTTGGCGTTGATGTACTTGATGCCGTTATTTTCCATTTTGGCAATCGCGTCCGCAATCCACCTGCCCTGCACAGCGACGGACGTGGGCCCGTTGCTCAGCAACGTTGGACCATGCGGTCCGTAGATGTGAAACATATTTGGGTAGCCGCTGACCGTCATGCCAAGGTAGGTTTTCGCGCCTGGGATCCATTCCTTCTCGAGCTCGGTGCCGTTGATGCTCTTTAGCCCGAGCTGGGTCATGACGCCAGTGACAACATCCTGTGTTCCATGTTAGCGTTTCTGTGTGAGAATCCATCGGTGAGATGGATTCAGTGGAAACCTACAAAACCAGTGGCAACAGCAATCACATCGAACTCGTGGTGAGTTCCGTCATCGAGGGTAATACCAGTCTCGGTGAACTCTTTGATCGGGTTATCCTTGGTGTTGACCAGATGCACAGACTCGCGGTTAAACTGCTCGTAGTAGTTGTTCTCAAGACACGGGCGCTTGATACCGAAGTAATGCGGCATCTTGTTGGGAGCAAGCAGCTCCCGCAGCTTGGGGTCACCAATGCGGGCGCGGGTCTTCTTAGCCCAGAACTTGTACGACTCCCTGTTGGCGTCAGGATTGATCAGGTAATCTTTGTAAATGGAGACCCAGAAGCGGAAGCCGCCTTCTTTCCAGATACGCTCGTAGAGCGCCTCACGCTCCTCGGCGGTGTCGTCGAAGGTGTTCCGCTCGCACCAGTCGTACATGAAACCGGCGAAGCTGGTTTCGCGGTACCGGAACAGTGCTGGGTAGTAGGGTTTGATGCGCTCCTGCTCCTCGACGGTGAGGTCACGCTTGCGCATTGGTATGGCAAGGTTGGGCGTTCGCTGGAACACTTTGAGGTCGCCGGCTTTGGGTCCCCAGGCTTGTGTGATCTGCACACCTGATGCGCCGGTGCCGATGATGGCGCAGCGCTTGTTCTTCACGTCGAC